AATTTTTTTTTTTTTTTTGTATTTTAGTAGAGACGGAGTTTCACCATGTTGTCCAGGCTGGTCTCCAACAACTCCTGAGCTCAGGCAGTCTGCCCGCCTCAGCCTCCCAAAGTGCTAGGATTACAGGTGTGAGCCACAGTGCCCAGCCAATAAATACATTTTTAAAGCAGCAAACCAATCATTATGGGAAAGAATCAGTAATTTGGTTGATTTCTGCACTGTTATTTTATAGCTAAGTATTGTATTTATTTTTGTTTCCACATGGGAGAGAGGCACCAGCCACTTTTCACTGTTGAGGGTTTCTTTTTCTTTTTTTTTTTTTTTTAAATTTTTTGAGACGGAGTCTTGCTCTGTCACCCAGGCTGGAGTGCAGTGACGTGATCTCGGCTCACTGCAACCTCTGCCTCCCGGGTTCAAGCGATTCTCCTGCCTCAGCCTCCTGAGTAGCTGGGATTATAGGTGCCCGCCACCATGCCCGGCTAATTTTTGTATTTTTAGTAGAGATGGGGTTTCGCCACGTTGGCCAGGCTGGTCTCGAACTCCTGACCTCTGCCTTGGCCTCCCAAAGTGCTAGGATTACAGGCATGAGCCACCGTGCCCAGCCGTCAGTCAGGGTTTATTAATCTACTATACAGGTACTGAAAGGGTAAAAATGGAAGAAATAAAACACAAAACACCTTCCCTTTGACTGAGCAGACTAGCCTGCTCATTCATTCATTCATTTATCCAATTTCACTTATAAAATGAGCAGAGTACTCAATGGTCGGTGGGATTTAGATCCACAAAGGCAGAACTAAATTCATCAGCAGATGTATTGAGCATGAGTTTGGAGAACTAGGAAAGCAAAAGTGGCACCCAAAATCGCTTTTTACAAAGAATTTCTTTTTCTTTTTCTTTTTTTTCTTTTTTTGAAATGGAGTTTCACTCCGTCACCCAGGCTGGAATGCAGTGGAGCAATCTCGGCTCATTGCAAACTCCACCTTCCTATGTTCAAGCGACTCTTCTGCCTCAGCTTCCTGAGTAGCTGGGATTACAGGCGTCTGCCACCACACCCAGCTGATTTTTGTATTTTTAGTAGAGACGGGGTTTCATCATGTTGGCGAGGCTGGTCCATCTTACAGGTATTCTCATCTGTCAGGTGGTGTCTGTGCTAACGTACAGAATGCCACAAATACACACTTTGGTGAGCATTCAGCAGGTGCTTGT